TTCATCAAAAAGATACCAGGAGTTGTGTTTATGTACATATTTACACATTTGTTTTGAAAACACTTCAAGTAACCCTTTATTATTAGTTAGTTTTCACCACCAAAACTCAAAATGTTCTGTTCCACTTTGTGATGTTATAAAGCAGCAGTTTTCAACTTAACTACCTTTTACCTTTAGTTCAGTAGAGACTGGCAATTCCAGGTCTGAAATGATCCAAATGATTCTAGTGAAAGTGTATGAAATTTAAAAACACAGAGGAACACTTCCTGTATTATCACATAACATCACAAGGTGTAACAGACTGAAAATAACTCAGCCTAAAAATGCAGGGTTTGTGTGTTAAACATGTATGAATGGAAGAAAACACAACCCCAGGTGTATGTTTTTAATGAGGAAAACAACATTATAACATAGATCAGAAAATAGGATAATATGGGCCATTTAATATTACCCAGATTTTTTTTTTTTTTATTTTTTTTATGGCTTTTGCAGTCTCAATTGTTGTCATAGCAGTTAACAATTCAAAACAAAAGTTTGCGTCTTTTAAATGGCCAAAAGTCGTGAAAACATTGCCTTTAACAGGAAACTGAAACCCATGAATAACAGTTGTAAACTGGTGATTTTCAATACAATGCAATGTTTTTAAATGTCGAAACATAATTTTTGCCCATATGGATTCCACTAGCACAGAAAGCCCTTCTCATATAAGAAAAAATAATAGAGACACCTCTATGGCACACTCTATTTGTCCAGAAAACATTATCATTCTGAAACACAAGCGAATTTTGATAATGTTGGACCTCACTGATATGAAAGGCATTCAGCTTGACGGCAAAAAATACACTGATTCAACTTCTTATCTCACTTTCTCACATCTCCTTCCCCAGTTGAAAGATAATCGCAGGTTTATGTCCACTTTTGAGCTGCTGTGGCGTAATCTCATTCTTGTATCTCGGCTCGCTCACAAATCAAACCGAAAGCACACTGCAGCTTTTAGATATATTGTGTCTATTAGACCACTTTGGAAGGCACCTTGATGTCTAAAATAGAAAAACAACAGTGGAGGAATACAGCGTATACTGACTCATTGTGGACGGCCAGACACTTGGGTGGCCATTTGTCACTATTAGTTTCCATTAGGTTGATTTGAGACAGCGAAAGAGAGTTGCTTCACAGCGAGATCGGGCAAAGTCATTGTGTGGCTTGCATACTTCTTCACACTTCACCCCAAGCAATTCATTCAAGTATAAACACCCAAAATGACCAATAACGTTAATGGTTTGAGTCAGCTGGACAAGTGGGCCATCAACAATCGTCAGTGTGATAAAATGCTGTTAAAAAAGACAGAGGGAGTTTGCAGCACTCCTCCCAAATCATGAAAGATGATTGGAGGGCACAAAAAGACCAAACATCAGTCTTAAAAATCTGACAATTTAATATTTTAGCTGTAAATCTGTCTGTAGGCGTAAATATGTCAGTATAAATAGCAGAGAAACAATCAAATGAGTGAAAAAAATGTCTGCAGGTTTTGTAAGCAGACAGGTAAGACAGTATGCAGGCGATTGAAGTGCTTTAAAAGGGCTATTAGTATTAAAAAGGAAGGTTACATGGCAATGAAATAGAGAAAGAGCTATTTGGTATTCTTTATTGAAGAAGGTTCCTTTTGAAGATAGCCTTTTGAAGATAGAAATTGCAAGAGCTGTAGTGCTGGACAACAAAAGTTTAATAAAACAATCCAAATCTAACTGGACACATGCTAAAGATGAGAAAAGCTGCATCAAAGCAAATTGTGTAGTAAAAACGTATTATTATTTAAAGGTCTTATATTACACAAAATTGACTCTTATGAGCTTTAAGCCATGCTGTTACCTCCTCAAAAACAAACATGGAGTTGTGTTTTGTTTAATTTACACATGTTTGAGTAATCCTTTATTAATAGCCTGTACACCTTCAAAGCTCAAAATGCTCTGTTCCACCTTGTGATGTCATGTAGTTGTAGTTTTCAAGCTAAGTTGAGCTACCTTTTACTTTTAGTTCAGTTGAGATGGGAAATGCCAGTGTTGAAATCATCCACATGATTCTAGTGAAAGTGGATGGAGTTTGAAAACACAGTGGAGCACTTCCACTGCGTTTTCAGTCTGAGAGAAGAGCTCAGCCTAATTGTGCAGGGTTTGTGTGTTAAATGTGTGTGACTGAAACAAAACACAAATCCAGATATGTTTTTGATTATATGATTTGAATCTTATATCATAAATCAGAAAATAGCGAAATATGAGCGCTTTAATTGAGTAATTGTAATACAAATATATCTTCTGTTGTTATTTTGTATTTAGTTACAGGGTGCATAATGTCTTGTACAAAGCTAAGTAATCAGGCTGTGCTAATATGTGTGAAGTCTTCAGATGAATTCTAATGTAATGACTGCCGATGGAGAGCAGTGTCTATTAGAGAATTTGTAATTGGTTTGTTTGATCATTTCCTGTAGACACTTGTGCAGCTTTTTCTGAGCATCTTGACTGAAGAAGTCCTCCTGCCAGACTTGACACGCTCACTTCATCGGACTGTAATTTCAGTGTACCTATAGAACAGTATGTGCTAGATATTTCCATCCCACCACCTGCAAGCTGCTCAGAAAGAACTGTAGCACAAAGTTCCCATCCTTACCCAAGTCAAAACTGCACAGAGCATTTTAGAGTGGAATAGGCCTTGAACTTTTAACTGCATTAACCTTTTTATAGAGTAGGTTACCAAAATGGATTTTTCACAAGCCTTGAGTGTACATAAAGTTCTTTCTGTTGATGTTTTAGTATTGAAAAATGTTTTACAAAGCTGAGCTGTGTCTTTTGTTACATACCCATTACTCAGTTGTTCTTCTGGGACTATTATCCATCTTTGTAGTCAGAGTCGGCGTCAGAGCACATCTACTGGAGGGGCGTGGGTCACCAGCAGGGGGGGCACTGCCATTTGAGAAATATTTTAACGCGGTGGAGTCATACAAAGCAGAAATGCTATCAAACATGTTTTTCTTTTACAGTATTAGGCTAATTATGTGTTGTTGTTATTTTTATCATTATTTTATTAAAATTATTATTATTAGCTGCAATAGTTGTTGTGGCTGTATGGTAGACGATACGCACACAAGACAATAATAAAAGGTTGAGGTTTATTAAAAAACAATAAGGCCTGCCACTGGTTGTAAACATTAAACAACAGCCTCTCGTCAAAAACACCCCTGAACAACATCACTGAAAGAAGCAATCGGGCAAGAAAGAGCCACACGTAGGACAGCACCAGGGCTGTAGTGGGCGTGGTACGCGAGTCGCCGTCCAGTACTGTCTTATAGAGACCTGAGACTTTAGGGACCGGGACTAAACCAGGACTAAACCAGGACTAAACCAGGACCAGTGGCAGCTGGTGGTATAATTTTTGGGAGGGGCACCAAGGCCAAAATTATAAATATATATTATGAATAATATATGTATTATATATATATAGGCTGTAGTATTATAACAAATACCAGAAACAGACATTTTGGTTACTATTGGCTGAACAGTATCGATCAGAGCACAATGAACAGCCAAGCGCAAACTTTACACAACAACACAACCTAACACGCCGCTCACACCCAGACCCAACAACGTCTGCAAAACTACAATAAGAGGCTACGATCACAACATGAACACAGATGCCGCACCTACAGCACACGACAGAACCAGAGCAGCTCCATCGCACCCGCGAGCTCATTTACGCACTATTTAACTATAACACTATAACACTATTTACCTGTGAGGCTTCATGTTCAGATTTGCTGCAAACTAATGAAAACCAGCCTCTTACTTTCTCCAGAGACTGAAGCAGAGTGTTTCCTCTATCCACTGTCCCACTGGTTCTGTCTCTAAAAGTCTATTGTCCAATATTAAAAGATGAAACTGGTTCGTGACGCGAGGTCCAGGAGCCGAGTGCACAAGATGGTTGAAAAATTTGTCTTAATCCCACTTCCCACTTAAATCTGAAAGTTACGGCCAGTCCATATTAGCACCAGGACACCAGGTAGAATTATGCCCTCTGCGCACTATGCTCAGGTCAAACTTTTACACCCAGAAACGAGCGGGCAAAGGCGGATAGAGCAGCGAGTGGCCCCGGCGGAGGCAGCGAGAGCCCAGGCCCGGTGGCGACTGTCCCGAGTCCGGGCGACAACTGTCCCGGGTCCCGGCAAAGAATGTCCCGGCTCCGGCAGTGGTAGCGACAGTCCCGGGTCCCGGCGGCGGGTCTATCAGTGTGTCTTTGACTCTGTTCTCGCCATTTCCTGTGTGGAGCTTTAGGCTAAAGTAGCTGCTGCCGCTAATCGTGAAGCGCTACGAGTTGACGCAGCAGGTTGACGTGAGTGACAGGACAGTTGTCCAATCACACTACAGTAAATAAACAGAGACTGTGATATCGTAAAGTTTGTGCCCTCAGCCCGAAGTGAAATGCGCCAATCAAAATCATTTTAAAATAGTAATAATAACGGCCTGTGCTGGGGGGTGGGGCACCAGTGGCCGCTAGGGGGGGCACGGCCCTCAAATGCCCCCCCTTGCCGCCGACACTGTTTGTAGTAAAGTAGTCTGACAAACATGTATTCAAAGTCACTGGTTCAGTTACTTAAGTTGGAATTGGTAAGTTATATTGGAACTGAGGACATTGTCATTGGGGATCACATCTGTGCTGTTGGTTGCATTTGGTATAGTAGTCAGCTATATGAGCCAGCTCATAATAGCCAGCCGTGTCTATAAAGGTGGTACAAAAGTTACAAAATGTGCAGGTAGGTCATTTAAAAGTGACAACCAGTCACATTCAGTTCATCACACACAATTTTTGTTTACATGCTTTTGTGCTTTATTGCTATAAGGCATGTAAAATTTACAACATTACATTTCCCAAAAGAAAAAGTTGGAGGAATGTTTTTTGGAATATTGCAAAGTAAAAAATTAGTCATTAATCATTTTCTGTAATGTTCACAGGTGTGGTGTGCATTTCCCAGTCAGTCAAGATTCCCCGAGAGCCAAAGCCTACAGAGTTCGACAAGGTTATCCGCCGACTCAGAGAAAATTCCAACGCACGGGTGGTCATCATATTTGCCAATGAGGACGACATCAGGTAAGGCTAAAGGCTTTGAAATATCCCTCTCTGATGATATAAACCTAATCGCTGCAGTGGGGAGAGGATGCAGCTAGTCTACCTGTATGATGAGTGGCACAACGAAATCAAAGTAGAGAGGTTATGAGATCAGCGTAACCTTATCCTGGTCAAACATCTGTTCCCTCACACTTCGCAGGCGGCTTCTCCAGGCAGCAAAAAAGGCCAACCAGACAGGACACTTCATCTGGGTGGGTTCAGACAGCTGGGGCTCCAAGATCTCTCCCGTCCTGCACCAGGAGGAGATGGCAGAGGGGGCAGTCACCATCTTGCCTAAGCGCCAGTCAATCAAAGGTACAGAGTATAACAGAGCCAGTGGTAAATCACAGGTAATACCAAAGAAGTGGGGCATTTATGAAAACTGTTTTTTCAATGTGTCCACACTCAATTCAGCAATATACAAAGCTTGCTGGTTCAATCCCTCCTCTCAATAGTTAAACTGCTTCAAACAAATACAGCTACAAATCCTGACACAAACATCCTGAAGAATACTAATTGAAGGCATTATTTAATGAATGAGATGGACAATACAACACTGAAAATTTGTGTTGAATTTTTAACAAATAAAAACAAAAAACTTGTCATTTGAAAAGAAACCCAGTCCAAACCTCTCATATGCTTTCAACCAGAATTTTACACAAACTACAGTATCATCATCATTATTTCATTTACAAGTCCTTTTGTTTCATATTTGGGTTGGACCATTGACTGTATATATAAATGGACGTAGCAAGCCTGCTAGCCGCTGTGTTACAAATAGGAAGTGTTCATGAGGTACTTCCAGCTCTATCAATTCCAATTGGCTTTACATAGAAAATTGTCACCACTCTCTCTGTAAGTGCTGCTGTGAGCATCATCATTTTGGTTTTAAAATGTTTATTAACCCATATTAGTCACCCACCCTACATGATCCTGGTGCTTTTATTTTGCTATTTTGTCTGTAAATAAATTCCCTTTCCTATTACGAAAATCGGCTCCAAATTCGCCTCTACAACTGCTAGCCTCGTGAGCTTCATTTGACTGAATGCTATGGGTAACGTACACTTCTTTATACAGTCTATGGGTTGGACATGCAATGGCTCTTTCACATGCTCCTCTATCCTTCACTAGCCCCTAACATTTGATCCAAATGTTGTCTGAGCATGACTTGAATGTGTTAACCAGGTGAGGGAATGAGTGACAAATATTTCTGTGTTCAGGCTTTGATCGCTACTTCATCAGCCGCACTCTGGAGAACAACAGAAGAAATATCTGGTTTGCTGAGTTCTGGGAGAACAACTTTAACTGCAAACTCAGTCGTCACGCTGTGAAGAAAGGCTCCGGACTCAAGAAGTGTACAAGTAAGACATCCCCCTTTGAGATCAGGGTATTTAGTGTTCTCTTTGTTCAAACTTTTAAACAACAACAGTCTTCAGGAGGCCTTGAGGAAGGTGACACATTCCGTTGAAGGTGTTTTGACAATGATGCCCACCTTGTCTTGAGCAGGAGTTATATATTGCTCACTGAGAATCACAGTTCATATCACAGCTTTCTTTTGGCGATTTGTGCTGAGTCTAGCGTGTTTCAGCGTCGGGCCATAACAAGTGAGTGGTGAAGCCGAGCTGCACAGATAAAAAGCTCCAGGCTCAGTGCCATGCGACGTGCAGTGCAGTCTGTCTTTAGGGGAAAACAAGCACTTTATATTAAGATTTAAACAGCAATTAAGATGTAAAACATATATTTTGCAATGATTAGGGTCAAACCAGTTTTATCTGGCAGTCCACACGAGTACTATTATCATAATTTTCTGCTTCTGCTTAATTAGTTCTTAAGGAGGAATAAAAAGTATCATGCTGTGAGTTAGGTTTCAGTTTAAAAATACAAAATGACATCTCTATGCATAAAAATGCATCCCTTGTGCTCTGCCCATGCACTGAATTTGATTAAGCCAATTAGCCAACAAGGAGAATTAATAACCTGCTTGAATCCAGCATACAGACTTTCATTTTGAAGTCATATTAATTAAATCATCTGTTACATCAGATGCACTTCTTGAGATCAGTTCCCGTTTTTACCATGATTCAAAAACTACATTAACTTGTCTTTGTAGATGGAAAACCGCAATACTTAACTGACAGATCATTTTTTATGTTGACAGCTGAAGAGAATATACTGTCCATTTTATTTTATTTTTACTCACAAACCTTCTCTGCTGCAGTGCAATTTTCTAAGAATTCAATGTATGTGATGGTTATCCAGGTCCTACTACAATTTGAGGACCAAGGCTAATCCTAACTAATCCTGAAGACCAACTATAAAGCCCTGACCTTTACCAGAGCCTTACAACAAGGCCCCGTAACTGCACCTCCAATTTTGAGAAGCAATATATAAAATGAAATAACATTTCCTACTATATTTTTAACAAATGTAAGTAATGTGGGAAAATAGAGCTGTTGGAACATAGAGCTGCCCTCATGCAATCCAGTTACATATTTTTTTTGTTCATATTAAAAACCTGTGATTTGATTTAGCGATGAACATCACAATGCATCTAAATTTGAATGTTGTATGGTAAAGTTACTTTTTGCAGCCTTAAACTGCACATACATAGAAACAATATAGACACATTCACAATGTTAATGGCAAACTTCTCAAAGGACAATATCTCAATTTTTGGTGCACATAATCAAAGACCTTCTACACCACTGCTGATGACATTAACGCACAGCCTTTGCAATTTGCTCCCAGCTAAAGGGTACAAGCTCATTCACACAGGCTAAAGATAGAGCACTTAATTCACATGTGGAAATTAGATTTGTGTCGGAAAACACATTTGCAAATAGTCTACTTTTAAATGTGTTAGAATCACATTTAGGAACAAATTATGCTTTCTGTGTTGGACAGGCTCCTTGCATTAATTAAAAATGAAATTAAAATAATACATCATTAAAATATAAAAATTTAATACAGCAAAACCAAAAAAAATTTAACAGTTACACACAAACTTAATAACAGTATGGTTTAGAGGATCAGCAAGTCATCGCAGTCAGAGAGAAACTTTTATGCCAGACTCCCCATTCTTATTTATAATACAAGGGTATGTTTAATATTGCATTTGTCAAAAGTAAATAAGTAAATGTGACAATGGATTGGAAATTTCTTGCCATCAGAAGTCATGACAAATGCATGACCACCTCTTGTTTTTTATACAGAATATATTGGTTGGCATTATTTGACGTTTGCTTCAGTTCAACCCCTTTCATTCTACAGCATGCAGTTTGGTTTTGTTCTTTTTTAAATATGAAATTCCTGCCATCTCTTGCCTCTTTATTCCAAGCTTCTCAAGTATCACCAAAAGTACACTAGTTGGTGACCCTCTTGTGTATTGTTGGTTGTTTACAATTTCCTAACTGTTCCCACAAATGGAAAGAAGCACGGTGACAGTGCAAACCAAGCCTTTGTGCTCTGCCCTGAAGCCACAATATTGTGCATGCACACAATCTGCGCATAACATGAAACGTAACAGACCACACAGACTTTACTCAACAGGCCGCTTGGCTAAACTGCAGTGCAGTGTGGTTTTGAAAACAAGTATTTGGGCAGATGCTTTCCTATACTGTTTAATTGTACTCATGGAAACAAATCTCAACTATGAGGTACATCTATCATAGGATATCTTATCTAATAGTGTCTTATATAGTAGCCTATTTGTGGTTTGATGAATGATAATAGCCTACACTAATAATGAACAGCTACAATGACTCTGACAATAGAGCAGAGATAACCTATAGCCTATTGTAAATGCATAATAGAACAAAAAGAGCTTTGGGAAATTGTTTTGTTAAGTAGAGTTCAATATTCCCATTGGAAGTGTATTGTATTGTATTTTTATGTTTTATAGTTTATAAAGCATAGTGCTTCAGAGGTGGAAAGTAACAAATTGAAAACATTAATTAGATTTTTGGGGTGGCTGTGCAGTAAAAGGTATGGTATCCATCCAGTCTGTCCTCATTCATGTCCATGGAAAATGTTTCAAAGTATAGTTTTAAGTTTTTAATTCACTGGAATTATGCAGTTGAAAGTATCACTTTCAATTCGTTCCACTCACAGTGAAGTATTTAGATTCATTTTCCTGCAATATTTGAAGCAATTTCAATCATTTTTGAGATATGATAATTCTGCAAGGTCTTTAAAATGCTGAAAGAAAAAAAACAATCTTATGTTTTTATATAAAAGATTATTTAAATTTTCACTTTTTCTGTGTCACTTTACAGACTGGAGTCCTCTTGCCTTATCTCCATGATTGATCCACACATTGTTACTAGGTGGTGGGAGAGTCCTGAGCATTTGTGTGAGCTTACAGAGTGACTGTTAGCAGTGCTTTCTGTGCTGGTGTTGAGTCGATGCAGAGGCTGTCTGTCTGTAGACCACATGGGGCAGTAGCATAACCCGTCCTGAGAGGGCGAGCCTGCTCCAGCTGATCAAAGCACACACACAAGTGCAGTGACTGGGAGAGGAGCCAGAGTCCTCTTTTATCTGTGAATGAAGGAGATGTAAAACTGATATTGATTAATGTGGAGAGCAGATGTAAGGTACAGCGGGGACTCTTCTGCAAGCTACTTCGTTTTCTGCTTATTAATGTTTTAGGGAGAGGGAAATAGTGGACTTTTTTACTGGAGATTTAACATTCAGGTGGTTTGTCTGCTTAATTAGATGAGTCAAGCCACAATAGGGTCACCAGATTGCGGGATTGGTGCCAGACCCAAGCACAGATAGATCATCTCATCTTTTTAATTTTTAACTTATATTTCTCCTAAAATCATCTCTACCTAGGACTAACCAACTGTACTAATCATTATTTTCCTAACCTGAATGACCATGCATTTAATCTAAATTTAATAATTACCATTCGAACAGTTAAGAAAAAAAATAATACATTTGTCACATGGGAATCTGATTAATGTCACTTTTCTGCATTATATTTGAAATTGTATCTCACAGAGAAAAGTAATGGAGAGCAAAAGCTACCAAATCTGTTTGGGGAACAGTGAAGATTTTAACTAGAGAGAATTCTTCCATTTTTCTCTTTTTGAAAAGCACTTAACTTGACAACTTGGCTGGTGTCTGAATAATGTGATAAAAATCACCAAAGTCATGGAATAAAAATAAATTGAAAGTGACACCTGATAATTTATAAAACTACATCAGGACACATGTCAAACTAATAACTATTAGACTGTTATTCAAAAGTAATGACTAAATAATAATATATTCAAAAAATATTCATAGGTTTCAACTTCCTGTTGACATTCCAGGTGATATTTTGAGGACATTTCTCATTCAAAAGATATTATTGTTAATAGTTAAGTGACAATGCTTTTCATCACATGGATCCTCTGGTAAAATGCATTTAAAATTATTTAATAAGTTTGTGTACCTTTTAAAATTTGGTTTAAGTTCAGAAAAATGCGAGTGTTTGCATGCATGATGTTTAGTAGGAACAGCTTTTACTGTAGTCATATGAGAGAAATCAGCTCTCATTTATATAAATGGATTTCAAATGGTATTGTAGAGACCTAGTGGCATTCCATTGTTTAGTGTTCAGGTAGAAGATTTAAGCAATAACTAAACTTATTTTGTGTCATGCTATTCAGCCAACAGTGAATCGTTATGCTTTCCTCATTGGATTTGTGTCGCCACCTTGTCATCACTTCTGTCCATCAACTTTGATTAATTACAGGCAATATCCCCTAAGGATGCATGCACAGATTCAACATAATGAGCAAAGGGTACATTCAATAGACTTGCAGTTGTCATGAAAACAGAAGTCACCAGATGTTACTGTCATGATGATAATTATTAAAACTAATGCTTGTAGTCTTGCATTTGTATTAGTCTTTCTGCATACTTGCCACAAAAAGTACAAGTACTACACAATAAATCAGTGCTCCAGTTTTGGGTCTAACTTTAAATGAGCAGTCAAAACGCTTTAGCATTAAGGAAATATTACCCTGTGGCTATACTAAAGGTCAAAGGTTGTAGCCCACACACATCACAAAAATGTCCTGCATGATGCTCCACTGTGAAAGACACCCACCACTTTGCTACTGCTCTGCTTAATCTAAATGGCTGAAAAGGCAGCCTTGAAAATGTGTGAATGTGAGCCAAAACGCCAATGAAGACACAGCTAAAGATGGTAAATGGTCTTATGAAAAAAAATGAACAGACAATAAAGTCAGCGTGGGTGGTCTGCCAAAAGCATGTAGCTATATCCCGCCAAAACGCCCACTTTAGCCCGCAGGGTTCCCCACGGCAACCGCAAAGTGGCCAAACCGTGGAAATCTGGGTCCAATCTCAGCCCCTGGCCCTTAATTATTGAGCCGTAACCTCCAACAATAATTCATGCATCTGAAAAGCTCTGCAGATAATCGGAGACATTAAGCGCCTGTGGTCTGCAATGAGAAGGAGGAGGAGAGAATGAAAGATGGTTGACAGACGGAGATCGGGGCTGATTGCAGGCTATGGCACTCTCTCAGATTGAAGTGGCTCTTGAAAATTGCTTGAACCTTAAAGAGGACAGATGTTGCATGATAAATGGCCATCCCTTGGAAATGACTGGGACTGGACCAATAGTGCCCACAGCGATGCAGGCTGATGGATAGAATGAAAGGCACTATTTGTTGGTGTTCAAAAGTAATATAATATCATGTTTCATCATGTTTGGGTTATACTCGAAGGGTTAAAAATGTCACATGGCCATTTCTCAACAATAAAAATGTGTAGTCAAAAATCTAATGCTTGCAGTAATAGTATCTCTCAATGAAGATCAGTGAAGATAGGTCCATATTATATAAACCTTATAATGAACAAAATGTAAAATAATGGTCTATGTATTGATTCTAATCAGCCAAAAAAAATAAATAAATCACAAACATGCCTGGAGTTGTTTTGTTTCATTCACACCTTTATCACACAAACCCTCCATATTTAGGGTTTTGAGTTCTTCTCTGAAAACACAATGTTTTAAAACTCAACCTTCACTAAAATAATTTGGATAATTTCAGCCTAGGAATGACCAATATCTGAACAAAAGGTAAAAGGCAGCTCAGCACTTCAAATTTACCACTTCATGACATCCCAAGGTAGAACGGAGAACATTTTGAGCTCTGGAGATGTAGACAGACTAATCATAAAAGATTACTCAAGCATGTGTGAATGAAACAAAACACAACTCCAGGTCTGTTTTTGATGAGGTAACAACATTATAATATGCCCAAAAGCACACAACAGTCAATTTTGTGTAATACAGGACCTTTAAGCAACCAACTGAAAAAACATTACAGTTGTAATTGTTGCATTCTGTGCAAGGGCACCAATGCACTAGCCTCTCACATATTACTTGTTTATCTACAGACTACACTAAAAAGTAGTTTGTAGCAGACAAAACTGATATGTCACATTCAGTTTTATCTAAGTCTGCTCTAACAGTTGTGCCCTAAAGACTACTAAAATGGAGCAGACAAGCCTACTACATTCTGATTTACACTCTTTAATCTTAAATTCGGCTGACCACCGCCCACTGTTTAGTTAATAATCTGCTGACAATTATTCATTTTCAGTTGGTAGGTATGTAAATATAATGTTCCATAGTTATGCATAATAGCATCGGAATTAAACATACTGACCTTTTGTGATCTCTTTTTCAATTAATTTTATTTTTAGACACATTCATCTTTAGAAATAACATATAAAGAATATAAATCCACACATTTTTAAATAACAAATAATCACATTGTTGTTGCAGTAGTTCCTTTAATGATTGTTGTTAAGGATTGGCACCAAAAACATGCCATATTAATCTTATAGTTTAGTCCTTTAACTTTACAAAAAGCACACATTAAAGTTTAAAGGGCCCATGTTACACTATTTTTATCATTTATGTTATAATGTTGTTTCCGCATCAAAAACATACTTGGACTGATGTATTGTTTCATGCATACTTAGGCTGCGTTCTTCTCTCAAACGAAAACACCCTGTTCCACCTGGTGATGTCATGTGGTAATAGAGGAAGTGCTCTACTGGGTCTTTAAACTCCATAATCTTTCACTAGAATCACTTAGATCATTTAGTTTTGGATAATTTCACCCCTAGATTTACTCATCTATAATGAATCAAAAGTAAAAAAGGAGCTGTTAACTTGAAAACTACTGCTTCATGACATCACAAGGTGGAACAGAGCATTTTCAGCTTTGGAGACAGACAAATAATGAAGGATTACTCCAGCATGTGTAAATAAACGAAACACAACTCCAGGTATGTTTTTGATGAGGTAACAAAATTCTAACATGGTTTAAAGCTCACAAAAGTCAATGTTGCGTAATATAGGACCTTTAATAACAGCATGTTGTAAAGCTATTGTGAGAAACTTCATTTCATTTGTGCTGACAGAGGAGATGATGAACCTTGTCCCAGTTTTTGTTTCATGTTAAATGTCCCACTAATTGTAATATTAACCATAAACCAGATCAACAAATCTGGAATCTGACTGCACATTCCAGCATCATTTTGACCTGCCTACCAGCTCAGTTTGAAACTATAGGGATTCCCGAATGCTGTTATGTCACGTGAACGTCACTTGTTACATCATACTTGACAAATTTCTCATGCAATCTAAGAGCAAGAGGAGGTGTTGTAAGATGTTGCTAATTAAAATCTATAGCAGTGTTTAGAAAGACTCAGAGGACAAATCCGTGTGTTTGAGGAACGGGGAAGAGTTTTTGTTTTTAACTGATGAGATTTCCCTCTGGAGAAAACCTTGCACTCTACATATTGGAATTGATCCTCTCCTCTGCAACCATCCAAATATTCACCTTCTAGCTAATTGCACCAGGCCAGGCCTATTCCGAACAGTAAGAATAAGACTCACTAAGGAGCAATGCATTTCCTCTCTGTACCTATTGGACTGACGCCACTCGTTCGTTTAAAAGCCCTATCTTGTTCCAGTTGGTGCTAAGTCGTCCCCATCCAATGTGACCATGTTTCAGAAGTGGGAGTAACATGGAAATAAGCCTAAAAAGACAGGTATTAGTGTTTGCCGCCAAAAGACTGGTGTATTCTCTTGGGGGACTTTCGTGACCACAGTGTTTTATGCATATTAGTTCTCAGGAGTGCACTTTAAAATACGCCTCTTTATCATCATTGTACTTGAAATAAAGGTCAAAGACGCTAGAGGAAATGTACAAGTAGATAATTCTTCATCAAAACTACTGGAGCTTTAACTGAATAAATTGTCTTGATTGGATGATGGAATAGTAGCTACACATTTATTTCCTGATTATTCTAAAGTGACTTGCATATAGTGTGGGATTTTTTTAGGGACCTAAGAACTTATACAATGTGAACTCTTTGTCAAATATAAGAAAGGGTGTTGCAAATGGTTATGGAGTATTTTATGCTTTGTACAGTAGGTCCAGATTGATAATAGATGTAACATTTGAGGGAACACTGAACTGAACTGCAAAACAAATACAATTACATACATTTCAGAAAATGTTTGTCATTGAATCTGGACTGAAATCTGTAGAGAATTTGCAGTCCAAGCCAAACTCAGACTGAGCCATGTGATCCTAAGGTTCCTTTAGACAGCAAATGGGAACCTAACAAATTTAGTGTCATCCTTTTAGAGAAACTTTTAGCTCGCATTGAGAGCATTTAAGTGCTTTGCTAATTTGCTCCTCTGTGTTATTTTTTCTTTCTTTTTTAATATTAAGCAGCCATGTTTGATACAGACTGACCATGCGTTTATCTGTTTAGCCAATACCTGTCAATCCAGTCTGACCTTGCAGAGATATGACTCAGACAGGGCCAAGACTGCATATCTTGATTTATGTATTTATTTTGGGCAAGTAAGAAATGTACCTTCTTTTACAATGAAACACATAACATTAATGAAATCATAGCACAAATCACATCAACAAAAAATAAATTAAAAATTAAAAATTGGCCCAAAAAGGAGTGGGAGGAAGAAAACTTATTTAATCCCCCCCCCCCCCTTCTTTGTAATATAGGAAAAGTGCCTGGTTTTGGCTGGCCAGGCAACTCAAATCCCAGGTTAGCTGATTTAATGCACATTGAGACCCAATACATTGTACAGTTTGTGTTTGTTGCAGTAACTACAACCATTCAATTTGCAATTCCCATTTGATTGTTACTAATGTTACTGCCCTATATGTCCACATCTATTCATAACAGTAACCATAGTAACATAATATTGTAAAAATGTTTGTTGTCGTACCTATAAACGTACACTAAGTCATGCCATGTGTTTTGTTTCTTTTCATCTCTGCAGACCAAGAGCGAATAGGGAAGGACTCTAACTACGAGCAGGAGGGGAAAGTGCAGTTTGTCATTGATGCTGTTTACTCAATGGCCCACGCTCTACACAACATGCATAAGGAGCTTTGTCCATGGAAGGTGGGCCTCTGTGCCAAAATGGACCCCATCAACGGCACTCATCTCCTCAAGCACATCCGCCGGCTCAACTTCGCAGGTTAGTCACTGCTGCCTTTACTGTCGCACAAACTGTAAATGGGACACATATTTCACACAACAGGGTAGGGATATAGCTCCGTTCTAGACTTTAGCACCACAGCACCTCGTACTTTTGTAGCATGACCTATTTTAAATTTCTTCTGAGGGGGACTGTTCACGTTCACGAATGGCATGTTAATAGCGGTGATTCAAATGACATCGCAAGATCCTAAAGGGCAATACTATTTAATACAGAGGAGGTGCTGGTAGAATGAGTGGTGTTAAAAATGCAAATTTGTGGTGGAATTTAGTGGGTTCTGGTCATATAACTGATCAGGTTTAACATTGTGGATTTACTTTTTAAATATTTCATGGCAATGTAATCAATAGGACAAACTGGCTTTTGTCCCTCAACTGGAAATACTGCATCATCTAATTCATATTGTACTAGAATTTACTTCAAGTTTCCGAATGTATGCGATTCGAATTGGTAACTGGTAAAACTATGCGCCTATGGTGAATGAATGTAAAGTGATTGGTTGTCTGTTTGTCTGCTTTGGATCTTGCCATCTTAGCCTTACAGAGTGAGAGGTTTAATTAAAGAATAGCTTCTTTGCATGATGGGTAAAGCTAACTGAAGAGCTGATAGATTGGTGAAATATCACTACAGACTGACAAATAGCTGTGGACTTTGTACATTGATTATAAAAATGAACTTTAAGTGTATTTATCATAGTGTTAGTGCTGCATGATACTGCCTCCTACACTGGAGCATCTCAGTAGCTTGGTAACCATCTTTTGTTGCATGACCCATTTTTCATTTCTTGCGAGAGGCCTTGCATTCTACAAAGCTATCGCTCATGTTCACATTCATGACCGGCATATTAAATATTAAAAACGAGCACACAAAGCATAGATGCAGGCTTTCATTATATAGACAGTTGGATTTTAAATTTGAGACAATTAGAATTCTTTCATAGGGTTTTGAGTGTGCAATGTTTGTAGAGATAAATTATTCATTTGAACTGCTGCTCTTCGGGCTAATTTGTCATTCTAATATCTACTTGTTGCATGAGGAGAATGACAATGTGGTGTTTAATTTTATCAGTAAAAGGAAATAATTTCCTTTTAAATGAATGAGTAATTCCGCATGCTTCCCGAGTTTGATGTTCAGTTGAACCTGGCTGAGCACAAGGCTTGTTAATTTTGAAAAGTTCCTGATTTACACGACAATGAAAGAGGCCATTTTCTGCTCCAAGAATGGAATCTGATATAATGAGAATTTGGCTGTTACTTTACCACTTGCAGTGTATAATTATGTGGTTTCTGATGTGGGTTTGTACAGGGATAGTGCACATATATTAACCAAGACAAAGTCAAAGAAAAGCTGGCACCAGGTAATAGCATGGATGTTAGTTCACACCTGTAGTCCCTGAGCAGGTATATGTTACAGAATGTAAAATATTTAATTTGCAAACTAGTTATTTCTTAGGAAAATAATGATTCTTCAACACTTAAGCAAAAATAAAGCTCTGATAAAGGGTTTTTTAGTTTGTAGTTGTATTGACCAAAGGAAGACAAAATACTACTACTCGACAGCAACAAAAAAGGCCATGATCTGTCAAGCCCCCAGTACACACCATGTTAGCGTACTGCTCTGCTTATCCACTGTTTGCTGTGTTTTCAATGCTGTTTCTCCTATTGCTAGCAGCATATTTGTTTTCCATTCACTGATGAAATAGAAGTATGTTTACCTAACCACCCTTTCATCGTCCAGGGCTAAGGTAATGCGTAAACTACATTAGTGTTAGAACATCTTCTGACCAGAGGGCCTGCCTTGAGGTTACACTGCACTCCATCTAATTGCATCAGTAATATTGAACTTGCCGAGGCACTGTACTTAAAACAACATCAGTACAAAGGCTGGACTGAGCTGCATGTTTTTTTGTTAATGTAATATTTTTATCTTTTGGGGACAGCACGTTATTTACTGGTGCAAGTCAAATCACAGACTAAATAAAATAGAGAAAGTAGGTCATTTTGTTTGTTGTGGTGAGTCATACTGAGACACTATGTGCATTGTATTATTACACTTACACAGTATATCTGCAGTTCATAAATAATGACACCTGCTGAAAAGGATTCCCATTTTTGAATTACAAGCTCAGTCCAGTATAAACCATGTGTAAATGTGTATTTCTGTGTGGTCACATTTCAAAGATTGCAGGGTTTAAAGGTCAAATGACAGAGAGATGTTTAGTGCAGTATTTTGAGCCTGTAGCTGGCCGTGCTGCCGCTTCAGTGCCATTTATCAGCTCTATCAGTGGACTGTTGGCATGTCAACAGGGGGCGCCGTCTGTCGCTGATGACAGATAACCTTTGAGGAAATATAAAAAGTAAATCAACTATTGTTTGACGTGTTTGTAATTGCATTTCAAAGACAACTACGTACAGTAAATATTATGTTCATGAACAGATAAAAAATAATGATGGAAGGTTAGTTGGCACGTGATATGCCACCAAGACTAGAGACACCTATGAAGGAAATATGGCAACAGCTATAACATCTCTCATATAAAGAAGGTAAATAGATAAATAAATTACGAGTATGTAGACATTAAGAGAAGACAAAATTTCCTAGATATAAAATACATTCTTGTCTCTCATGTCAGCCCAGTAGCAGCTCACTTTTGACACTTTGATGGCACAGACTTTCATACCATTCAACAAGCCAACATTGTAAATAAGAATGTGTTTTTAAAGCAACAGTGCGTAAAATTCTGGAGATAGCATGTCACATCCACGAGTCCATGAAAAAGAAAGTTTAAACCACTTTGGAAATAGCAAAAGAAAAATTCATTTCTGTCAACTGGACCAAAATTTAAGAATGAAGACATTTCACTGCTCATCCAAGCGGCTTCTTCAGTTCTGGTCAGATTGTTGGTGGACACTGCCTTATATCTACCTGAATGGAGGAGCTAACTACAATGAAACTAATACACGTTTGTTTACAGTTTCAGTTTGTTGGCTGGGTCTATTGAACTACACTGGGTCTATTGAACTACACTGGGTCTATTGAACTACATTAAGTGTGAACTGTGCCTGAGTCATATTTGCATAATCGTTCAGGCTCCTGATGGGTGCACTCACACCCATTAGCATACTATCACCATGTTTTCCTTGTTTTGATTTAGGTGTAAGGAGTTATGAAAGGAGATTAATCTGGCTCAGTTGACAGAACTGATTTTTATTTTGCTATGGATCGTATCTGCATGACCGAGGGATTTCTCAGAGACCATTTTGGAACATACTCTGTGGAGACAGATGCATTTTAATCAAATTTTTAGCAACACAGTGGGAGCTTAATATTTTACCTGGTGAGACAATAACAAATAACCACATAAAATACATTAGACAGATTCCACAGAACAGTAAAAGTTCAAAAAAGTTAAATTCTTCCCAGAGCTCATACTGGAACTAACCCACAGGAGACCAAAGCACCTCAGGTCCATTTTCCAGTGCTGTTTGACACCTATAAACCAGGCGCCCTCCCTCCTCTCTCACCTTTACATTGAGCGTGTGGTGCCAAACTTCAGTCCGCCCTAGTGTTTCATGTCTCTCGTCCTCACGTCAAGGCAAAGCTCTTTTGCTCCAGAGCAGACAAAGAGCCATGGCCTTTCTGGCACATTCTCACCAGGGACAGTCCCTCTGAGAGATGAACAAAGGTGAGCTCAGAAGGACACTTCACACCGATCGCCGCTCAAGGATGTGCCAAAGTCTTTTTGCCCAGATGCTTGATGTTAAATGTGAAATGTCAGTTTCCTCTTCACTCACATGAATCTGACAGTTAATCGAAAAAGTAAGAACAAAATATGATTTTGTAAAAGTCTTTATGACAGACTTACCCTTGATTCTTTATACAATCAAGTAATCTGTAAGAAAATTGTGCAAAGAAATATGGTAAACCTAAGAATAGTTTTATCTTTATACCAACAGTGTAAAGAACTACTACTAACACAGAGGTAATACTGGGGGAGAGAATTAAGTTTAAAATAACAAATCAAAGCAATAGTCACCTGGTGTTAACGGATAATAACTTCATCATTCATTGAAATGATCAAATTTGGGCGTGTAGTGTTAGCACCATAACACGCAACACATAAGAAAAGTGTTTTATCCATGGGTTTCAGAGTGGTGAAAAATTAGGACAGTTGTCAAAGCAATTCATTCAAAACCAAATATATATTTTTTTAATGGTCAGAAGTAACCAATATAGCACGTAAGACAGAATGCCCATGAATCATGATTGAAGTGGAACAGTTCTCAACATATTTTATTTATCGGAGTACGCTCTTGTAGTTTGTTTTATAATGTTTGTTTAGTACCATGATATATAGTTGTGTATTGTTATATGCGAACATTATAGTCATTTTAAAAATAGTCTTACAGCAGTCTATTGAACTCTGTGCCCTGATTGAGACATCATTCAGTCTCAGTGACATCAGCAGAGCCGTACAGGCGTACTTAAAGAGCAGAGGTAAATTCTCCATGACGATCCAGCGCGGGTCATTAGGAGGTAATGACCGGTGAAGAGGGCGGCGAGCTGAGTGTCCATTCACCAAGGTGTCCCCATAACGCAGCCGAGCATAACCAGCACATGTTGAATTAATGAAGGTACTCCCTCTTTCCTTCAGGTGTGTGCGGGGGAGGGAGGTCGTAGAGTTATTAAACATTACATATAATTAAGCATGGTCCGTTAACTCCCTGAGAACAAAAACAAAGAGTGGAGCCCGAGAGGTGGAGGTGTGCCGTGGTCAGTCATTTGAGTGCACACAGCAATGGGGCAGGAGGCCTCAGAGGAACTTATTATGTGGAGAACGCTGAGTGTTTAGACAAGCAGTCAGTGCCACATGACAGACCTAATACCTCCACGGCAACTCAGATATGACCATACCGGCCCATAATACACTCTTCTAAATTTAGACTCCAACAGACAGAAGTACTGGTAGTAGAACTAGTTTCACAGCTGTGATGAAACTGGACAGCAATGTAGTGGGTATTATGGTAGTGATGCCACCAGGTGACAATTCACCTGAGACAGATTTCTACCAAGTGTTGACAAATTAGTGGCATGGCATTTCCAACTCAATATTCTTTTAAGTTTGCATCAGATATATTGAACAACTATAGTGTACTATGAGAGATTTCCTGATTTAATCATAGAGAGATTTTAGCTAATTTGGTATGTGACCCAAAATTCCAATAACATCTTTAAATACATTTACTACTTTTACACAAGTGGGAAAAAGTTGATTGTGAAAATGCTTGTGAATCATTCTGACATTTTAATATTCAAGTATATACACAAGCCGTTGGTTATGTCTGCAACATGTCTACCTGCATATACTTCTATATTATTTTTTGCATCACTATGATAGACTGGCAGTATTGCAGTTGTTATTATTCTGCATTGCACTGCTTTTATCTTTGTGCTTTATATTGGATTTATATAACACGTTTGACTTGCATAACTATGTTTGCCACATAATTTAAGTTAATTAATATTCTCTAGTTTCTGCTAGCCAAGCGGGCGCCACCTAGTGCCTCCACTCAATTTAATTTCGCTCCAGCAACTAGGCCAGGAATCAAAATACACTAGACAGTTTGCAAAAAACCCCCGGAAGTGCAAGTTCAGGCACCAGCCATCAGTGAAGAGCCATATATTCAGTGTTGTCAACGATTTCCGAGATCAAGGATTTAAAGCCAGAACAAAGAGAATGTTTGGTGAATTTCATCAAGGGGAAAGACATTATTGTCCTTCTTCCTACAGGATTTGGGAAAAGCTTAATATACCAGTTAGCCCCGTTAGCGGCGCATTACATACGTGACTACCAAATAGCAGTGATTAGTCAAATGACAAAATGTACCCGCCTACTGTCGAGCGAACAAATTCTAACACTGTGAGGTCAGAGGGATTCTACAAAGTGATACAAAGTGAAACCAGCTGATGAATCAGGCTAAGTTTCTGCTACTCAACACATTTGAAAAAGGAGGTTTTAAGATAGGGATATATTAAAACAAAAAATACCCTGCATGCAATTGATCCCCCAACTTTTCCACATTTCATCAGTTTTAGTCCACACATTGCTCATGGCTGGAAAATAGCTTTGGAAAAATTATATATTTTAGTTATTATTTGTGAAATTGAAAATATCCATAAAAGAACCTCTTGTGATAGTTCTCTAGAGATGACACAAAATAGCCTGACATGACATGAGTGAGAAAGCTAGCATTCTACAAAATACAGGCAGAATGTGGGTGTGTGCATGTATGTACATATATAATCATAGCATGTTACTGTGCCATCCATTTGAAGAGGCCACTATGGTATTCTGGGTTCATTTCCCTATTTACTGCGAGCACTGTACATGGGAATATGACCCCAGCTGAGCCGAAAAAAAAAAAAGACATGTTCAACACACACATAAAGCAATGGGGAATAAATAAATGCCTGTGTGATTAAAATCTACTGCCACAGTTGTCTTTCCATATGTAGCATTATTTATATCAGCTTTAAGCTTCTCTGCCTCCTCCCAGTCAGTGTAATCCTGGCATGATCAGTGTGTGTTTGGAGATGTGGGCGGTATTGTCACAGAAACCAGTGTGAGGAGAGCTGTAATGCCCTAATCCAGCTACTCACAGGGATGTGGATTAGAATGCTACATTTTCCCCGCTGAAACAAAGAACAAAATCCATCAGGAGAAATGACAAGGTTTTCCTCTTTTTACAGACTGGGATGTTTATTGTGTGATTGAGGAGAAATAAACATAAGCTCTTCTTTGCTTTTTGAGAAAGTTGTGTGTGAATATCCTTGGTCTCTCTCCTGAAAATAAATGAATTCTGAATAATTTAATGAAATCTGATCATTAGGTGCTTAAACAGACAGGTATTGTAAATGGCATTGTATCACATCATCGAAAATATGTTTAAATTGTGTAAAGTAACTGAGAATTTAACTTTCTGGAGGTGGCATGTCACTGCATGATTTCATAGTTAAAATCATATTTTGGAGATGCAAGCCCACTTTTTCTACATTTTCAGTATTATAAAAATATCTAAAATATATATAAAAACACTTTTATTTAAGTCTGTTTTTTTTTTTTTTTTAGAAAAAAATGTATGTGGTGGGGCTTCAAACTTAGATCATATATTTTTTTTTTAGATTGTTTTGTTATTAAAGCGGTGTATATATCCCTGGACATACAATTATCCATTGTAAAGAACTGAGCTTGTGGCTGTAAAACACAATATTACAATTTCCATTATCTGCCCTTGTAACTTGTAGGACACACGTTCCATATGCTGCCTTGATTATCCAGACCTGTACATCACCGCAGCCGTCTGGCTTCCACAGGGGACGGGATACAGGGAATCTTTGGTGCTTTAAATGTGACATTTTATTGAAGCTTGTCTTTAAATGGCACACTGGGATACGTTGTTAAACATTCTTATCGCTGTGATAGAGCAGGACACCTTGGGCAGGCTTGACACTGAGGAAGAGAGCTGGAGGCCATGAAAAAGCTGTCATGACTTAAATGGCTGATTAAGATAAGAATGATTATGGTTTTATCAGTGATTTTGTTTAACAATTAAATCAGATTTGACATACATTAATAAACATTAACCTATTGCCTCAATCTAGAAATTATAGCTGGAGTCTTCTTATAACATAATATTTGTCAACTCAGTTAGTTATTTGTTAACTCATCATAATGTACTGCGAAAACGATTTCTGTTTAGCATTTTGGGTGGAGTTGAATTACAATAAAATGTGTTTCATATTGTTTATAATTTTTTGAAGCTAAATCCAAGCATGTTTTGTAGTAGATATGGCATAAAAAGCTCAGTGTAATATATTTCTTTGATCTAAGGAAATATCCAACCATGTGCGTATGCAATGCATTAATATGTAAATATGCATGCATGTAGAAATTGCTGCTGTGAAAATAAGATTTTACCTAAACTATTGCCATCCAAATTCTTTATGCGACCCTGTAATTATGACCACATCACTGATGACAACACATTAGTCACCCTCTCATCGATTCATACTCACTGAGAAATAGCTCAATTATATCCATCAAGCAACACTGCTGATGATGCCTATTATTCTCTCATTTAGGCATCGCGGGGAACCCAGTGCTCTTCAATGCTGACGGAGATGCTCCCGGACGCTATGAGATCTATCAATACCAGATACGTAACAAGACGGCCGAATACAAGATTATAGGCAACTGGACCGATCAGCTGCATCTCAATGTAAGTATACCCCCAGACAAAATAGACACTGATGGGGCCTCAAATATACATTGAAACAAATTACATTTCTTTCACATACAAGAGCCCTGGAGGATACCATTTATTTTGCATTTTGTTTGTGATTTTATAGGGTGAAAAATATTAAAGGATGATAAACCATTTAATAGCACTGATGGATGAGAACCATGTAGAAGCAAAAGCCTGGGGCAACAGCAAACAGTTGTTTCTCTGTCAAGGTGCAATGTGACACTGAAAGAAGGGAATATGCTTCATATCAAACAAGAGTCAAACATACACATTTTAATATTATTGTAAATTGTAGTTTTGTTTACCTACTAATTTAGCCATTTAATATTTAGAGTATACTGTGGTTCGTGTTTGGCACGTTCATCCACCATTGGCGGTTGGAAGAATTGATGGAAAATGTGAATGTAAGGCATTATTATGATTACATCGGGTAAGGGTCTTTGTTGGGGCTTTGTTGGGGCTTTGTAAGACTAGTTTTCTCAAGAGCTGCATCATGTCATCACAGTCAGTTCATGTGACTTTATTTTGAGCCATCTTCAAAGGTGTAAATATCCACAGGGGGTTTAAATGATTAACAGGGAACACAGTTGGAAAAGAGAAAGCCAATACAGCTTAAGGACAACAACACTGACTTCTAAGATATTATTTTGGGCATTATCAAAGTCTGTTACATAAAGAAGCAAACAAATTCAGCCTCCAAAAGTCCAGAGAAGACATGAAGAGGATTGAGAGAGTGTTCGTCTCCACTGTCTATTCTGTGGGTAACTAAGAAGGATTGTGGTTTGTGGCGGGCGCCCTCTGAGGAACATGGCAGCTCAGTCTAAAGCCTGAATTTAATTAGGGCTCTTAGAGTTGTTAATTAAATGCACATTTAGAGACAAATTTCATTGGCTTTGTGTGGAAAAAACACAAGTGGAAATTAATAACTTGACATTAAAGAGAACCAAGTTGTTTGATACGATAAAAATAATGTTATCTTTAAAGTACAGTTACATCAAAGGAAAGAGGTATCCAAAAATGAAAATGTGCTTCATCTGATCTTTAGACAGTTTTGTATTGATTCTTGTGACACAGGCTGATTATATTTAACCATAGATTTCTACTGAGATCTTGTGACAAAGACAAAAAAGTGTCATGTTATTTTATTTTTTACATATGTTTTACCATTTACTTTTAAAACTTTAGGCTTACATTACAAGCCAGGGTATTACTATCAAATTAAAATGTGATTTACTGCATTTTAGAAAATGAGTGATGTGTTTACTTGAATTCTTTCCACGTTTGGTCTGAAAATGTATGCGAGATAAACATGTGAAATGGCACGTATCTAATAACCAGATTGTATGTAATCAAATCTGAGGCACTTCCGAAGCCAGTGTGAACACAGCTTATGTTACACCCCTCTTCCCACAATCACTCACCACTTTTCACTTGCCCTTCACATGTTTCGACCTTTGGGGAAAAAATTCTTTAATCTTAACTGGAAAGCTTGGATTGACCCCAGGTTTGCCCTCCCTCGCAGCGTCCAGGTACCATTGAGGCATACAGATTCATAGAGTCCATAGGTCCATCTCACCTCCAAACAAAAAAGTATCTGTCTTATGCTCTGTCCTTGAGCTTCTGAGGTATAGTATATCCTCGGGGATCAATAAGCATCACCATTGTTCCTCTGATACGGGCGGCTTACTTCGGTTCATATCAGTTTGTCTCTAAATCCGTGCTCATTCCTGTACGTGTGTTGTTCTCTCTACAGGTTCGTTCAATGCAGTGGCCTGGTGGACTCCGTCAGATCCCCACCTCTATCTGCAGCCAGCCCTGTCAACCCGGGGAGCGTAAGAAGATTGTGAAGGGCATTCCTTGTTGTTGGCACTGTGAGCGCTGTGATGGCTATCAGTACCAAGCGGACACCTACACTTGTAAAATGTGCCGCTTTGATTTGAGGCCCAATGAGAACCACACTGGCTGCGTTTCAATCCCCATTGTGAAGCTGGAGTGGAGCTCCCCATGGGCAGTCATCCCAGTGCTCATCGCTGTAGTGGGCATCATGGCCACACTGTTTGTGGTGACCACATTCATACGCTACAATGACACTCCCATTGTGAAAGCTTCGGGTCGTGAGCTGAGCTATGTGCTGCTAACAGGCATCTTTCTTTGTTATGCCACCACCTTCCTTATGATTTCTTCTCCAGACGTTGGTATCTGCTCTCTGAGGAGGATCTTCTTGGGTCTTGGCATGAGTATTAGTTACGCAGCACTACTCACTAAAACCAACCGCATTTACCGCATCTTTGAACAGGGGACCATGTCTGTGAGTGCCCCCCGGTTCATCTCTCCAGCCTCCCAGCTGGTTATCACCTTCACACTGGCCTCAGTGCAGCTGATCGGGGTGTGTATCTGGTTTGCAATGGATCCCTCTAAGGCCATCATTGATTACGAGGATCAGAGGACGTCTAACCCAACGATGGCCCGCGGAGTGCTCAAGTGTGACATCTCAGACCTGTCTCTCATCTGCCTGCTGGGCTACAGCATGCTACTCATGGTCACCTGTACAGTCTACGCCATTAAAACCAGAGGGGTGCCAGAGACCTTCAACGAAGCCAAGCCTATTGGCTTCACCATGTACACCACCTGCATCATCTGGCTGGCTTTCATCCCCATCTTCTTCGGCACATCACAGTCCACAGAAAAAGTAAGAACTCACTCATACGATTTTTGCATGAGAAAAGACATACAGCGGAGCACTTCATTCCAACTTTCTGAAATATAAGAATAGGAAATAACAAACCAAATAATATGCAAAGAATATCTGATTAAAGTTATCCGATTTCACATTCATATTGTTGCATTACATTAAAAATAATTGGAAAGCACATTGACAGGATACAAATGTATGCATGCACTTATGAAAGTACAAATCTTTTGAGACGTGTGCATACAAATGCATGTTGCATTATCGGTCTCATTTTGTGTGTTTCACAAGTGCTTTCAAAATCAAGATAAAGAGGGTTTTTCATCTGAAAAAATGGAAGGCATTATCTTCGGAGTATGTCTTCTTTATTCCTTATATGTGAGTTTTGGCGTATATCCTATAATAGAAGAACAGGCAGCATATAGCTGTGACTCACATGTATGGTGGTTGTGTGCCACGAAGCATTAGTGGCCAATGAAGTGTTTACCCAAACACAGACTCACGCTCGTATTCCCATGTCAAATCAATGTACCGACCTCCTGAACCACAGACCTGGAGAGAGTCCAGTGGGAGGGTTGAGAGGAAGCAGGTCAAGGGCTGTCCAACAGGGACTCACAAATGTAGGCAGAGCTTCAAACACACAACAGAGCAGGCGCTGCGTCCCGGGCCAAAAGGCTACAACAATGACAAAGTACAATTGTGTAGATCCTGCCGAGAGAGAGCTTTGGCCGCTCAACAAAAGAGACTCACAGGAGGACAGTGGTGAGGAAAGCCTTATTCTGGCATGGCCATTATCAAGCAGTGCCAGTGTGAACCTGACAGATGCAACAAATTAATCCTTACCTCCTTCCCTTTGGGAGTCAACTAAACAATTCATCAAAAATGCTGGCCTCAAAAACTGGCCCTGAGTGGTACCTCAGTGGATTAAAGGGTCTGAGCAGATGTATGTGCATTATGTTACCCCCTCACCAAAGTAATATTTTCTAATACACATCACAAAGTGTGCATATGACTGATTTAAACATTTACCCTATTTAAGATGCAGTGCTCAGTAATAAATGTCAAAGCTTTGGGGTACACAGTATTATCAATTTTGCACTTTTCCACAGAAGGTATTCATTTACTTATTTTTGCTGTACAAGATAAGACACAAGGGCCCAAACTCACATTATTTTCTCAAGACTCTGGTACATCTAGTATTAGAGTTCTTTGTTTAATCACTCCATCTTCTCTCTCTGAAGATGAAAGAGAATCACACAATCACACACACACATACACACAAAAAGATTGAACAGCTTTTTGGAGGATGAGGTAATCCATTAGCCGGCATGGCACTGAATAGTAAAACAGAGGGGAGAAAAGGATCCTTAAAATGGTCCCTCTGGCTTTTCCATTCCTACTTCTCATAGCATTAGCAGTACAAAGGTGAGCTCTATTCTGTCCCTAACATACAGTATTAGAGCCATGATTACACTCGTTGACCACTTTATTAGATACATCTCTTCTAAAAGCAAATGAACATGAAGAAAGACGTGACTGTTATCAAGTAGTCTGAAGTCTGGCAATTTTTCAACTTCTAGCATCAATGTGGCCTTTTCAAAACGCAACCAGCACTCATTGGATAATGTGTAGTCATTGTTTTGCCTTGAGCTAGTGATAAAACACAAATATTAAGTACGAGTGAATAAACATAAACTTGTATAGAAAGCAAGCATGAATTGGTAATGGAGTTGCAATGAAAAGCTGTGCAGCACCATACAGCACAGTACTAACATGGGAATTGGGTGGAAATATCATGGTAGCTAAATATGTTTATGGTAATATGAGTCATCCTCCTGACCTTATTGCTAACTTTAACCCAGCATGAAGAGTGTAAATTATCTAGAAACATGGCTTGTAATTTCCAGGTAATACACACTGAGGACTGCAAAATACCTTTATTTGTATCTCCTGCACTTGTTCTTTTAGTGTTGTAGACATTCAGAATAGTACATTTTCAATTGCTGGTCTTTTCTGATTTTTTTCTGGCCTTGCATGTAGAGTACTTCATTCTAAATCTTCACATGCACACTTGTGATAGCCTCCCCTGAGTTCTTACATAAACAATGTTCTTATTTAAAGCCATTACCATGTCAAAGCCACTCACCCCATAACCATCCTACAGTATATGACAAGTGCCCTGCTGTACTGCCTCCCGGCCCACACTGGCATGTCTTTCATGGCAATTAAACGCTCCAGTTCCTCCATCTTGATTTACCCTATCTAATCGCTTATTCATTTATCAACAGTTTACTGTGAGGTGAGGTTCTTACATCATCATTTGCTGTGTGTTGCTGGTAGGCCTGTCGTAATAAATTTTGAAGCACGATATATTGCTACAGAAAATATCATGATAAAGTAAATAATACTGAAACAAGTGTACACCACAGGGTACTTCATGATTCAATATGATACACAATACATGGCCCACTACATGATATAATCAAGATATGGCAATACATGTGATAACTGATAAATTGCACATGAAATATGACTGTTTTGTAAGAACCAAATACATTTTAGCAACACTATTTCTTTGTTATACCACTACTTGTGCAAAGTTAATATGAAACACATCTTTTTAAATCATAAAAACAGTGAAGTGTGTTGCATAAACGAGTTTCCTTCGCTAAATAAGTAACAAAATTACAATGCGGTCACATAAAAAAATGCTAAAAGATACCTAAAAATATTATGATATATCGATACAGTCACCCATGATAACAATACTGTGTCACCAATTTAGCATCACGACTAGGGATGTAACAATAACCGAAATATTGTGATATCATATCACCAAAGTTCTCACAATAATATCATGGACCATCACAATATATATAATTACAAGTCTCGTTGCTTAAATTAAGAGTTATGGTGCAGCAGTAGCTAAAAAAAAGACAGAGGGAACTACATAGACCATGATCCTTTGCTCCATTTCAGTGTAGACTACAAGAAGAAATGAGAAATGTTCTAAACACTTTTAAGTCATAGTTCTTTGGGTTAAATCTTGCCAAGGCATTTTAAGAGGAAAAAGTAGCATATTAACAGTTTTGTTAGCCTCCACAAAATATCACAATAAATATTGTACCATGATATGTATATCGTGAAACTATTGTACCAAGAGATTCGGAAATTGTTGTTACATCCCTAATTGTGAGCCTCCCCACCATATCGTGAGCTTTCCCACGATATCTCAATAAATATTGTACCATGAGATTCATACAGTGATGATATCGTATCGTAAGACTTGGATATCGTTACACCCTTAATCATGACATATTGATATTTTGATATTCTTGCACACCCTGCCACTGACATAACAGTCCTAAAGCAGGATAGTCCCACTAAAACTTCTAAATGTGTACTATAGTTAAAAACATAAATAGAAGAATAAAACACTTTTCACTCATAATACAAGTTCATTTTTTGACTCTCAATAGCTCTGGTTCCCCATTATAATCATTATGGTGACAGGCTTGGTTGCCGGGTAAACATATGACTAATAACATGAGAGTGCTTATGGATTGTTCAAACTGGGGCATCTGGACTATCTATAGTGCTTTATAGATGTGACACCTGCTTACCTGGAGAAACAGTCTGAACCAGAGGCTGTCAAAGAGAGAGAAAGAGAAAGGATGGGGGCAATCGCTTACACAGAAATGAGCCTAGTGCAACAATAGGCTTGGTTCAAATTGAATCAGGTCCCACAAAGCCGTCCGCTCTCCCATTTGAATGCGCGAATGGGCTGATGAGTTGAGTGGTGTTGTTTATTTCGCTATGAAGTCTCCATCAGACTGCTTGGCACAGTGCACCCCACAACAGGCAAACTGCTGTAGTGGCACTAAAGTCGAGGCAAACCCAAGCTCTCACTAAGTTCAAATGTAACGGAAGTTGCTGCTGAGGAGAGCTACCTGTTATGCACAATTTACCCACGTTGCTGACAAACCAAAACATTCTTTTTAGTTGGGTTAGTTCTAGATAGTCTCCATAGCGCTGAATGCCATGTTAATGTGTAAATCTGTATTGCTACAAGCATCCCTTTTAGCTACATTTTCTTTTATGATGTAGATTAAGATTTTAAAAAAATATAATAAATCACCTTCCTATCCCTAAACTTTACCTTGTTAAACTTAACCAAACTCTAGGCTTAGCCATTTTACCCTATACTTTCCTAAAAATAATTTAAATCCTGTTCCTAAACCTCATCAGTTTGAATGCCCAATCACAGCAGACTGTCCCTCTGGAGTCTATTATCTATCTATAGCACAAACCTCAGAAGAAGTCATTTGGTTAGATTTGTAACGGTATACCTATAAGATGAGAAGACTCTGTATACTTTTGTTTAGTTTCAATATGTCATGTTTAAATATCCATGCTTTTGAGCCACAAACATTCTTATATATTTCTTCATATTTTCAGTATGAATCATCAACACAGTTGTAATAACTGTGCAGACTTATGACCTCTTAATAAATTTGAAGCAGGTTAGTCAAGGGACAATTTAATCTGTTTTTGGAATGTTAATTGTTTTAATTATAATAACAAAATCATACCATTATAATTATGTTTCCAGACTTGCACTCAAATGAGAATCTACTAAAAACTTTTTTTTTTTTTTTTGCTTAACATTCTGGATGCAGAGCTATGGCATCATTCTTTAGTAATGCTTGCATATAGGGTCTATTTCAACCTCAGAAGCATTTCCCCATTGTCCTGCTATAGACAAACAACATTATTCAAAATAGCCTCCCACGGGCTCAATAATACATAATGAAGATTGATGCTGTGCCTTGGTGGGAACTAATACAACACATCTTGGACTTCAGAGAACAGTTGTTTCGTTCATTATACCTACAGCGCTGTATCACTCCAGGGCACACCAGTTGACCCTTGGGTGCTTCAGTAATGGGTGAAGAAGTACAAAAGCTAATCAAGGCCAAAGGGTTGTGGACTTTACAAATGACACTGTCCCATAAGAGAGCATTGTTGTGTCCCCTCAGGCTCGTATTTGTTTATTAGCTTAATTACGCCACAATTATTGTGGGTTCTTTCAATGCAGAGCTTGGCTTTTAATGTCCCCATAGTGTGCACTGAAATGAGAATTGTGAGCACTCATTGAATATCATCATGCACACCTCGAAGCAAAAACTCACCAGATGCACAGCTTGAGATAGAATGTATAATAGAATAGTTTACCGAGAAAAAGATTCTATTAAGGTTATCAAAAAATCAGCAATGTCCAGTGCAGGGAATCTGTAATGTGCATTTTTCCTATTGAGAACATGAAGTATATTTAGTGCTACACAGTATATAGGAGAACTGCAAAGAGAACGTTCCTATCCTAAGGTGATTCCCAAATCTATATTTTTGCCTATTATTGTTTATGTAATCCAGAATACAAAAATTAGGCATACATTTTTTATTCCTCCTGATTTAAATGCAAGTTTCTGTATTAAACCACAAAGTAAAATCACTTGTTTCACACCTCACTAAAACTTTTACACAACACTTTATCATAACTGTTATCTGAATCTTACACAACCACAGAGTCTAAGTTGTGTCACACTCTGTAGGAAGTGAGATTATGTATCTGCTGTATATCTATTATCAAACTTTATGTTGGCTATGGATTCTTTATGATCCTTTATGTTGTTTTCCCCCAAGCATATAATGGTAATGCTAGATTTAGGCTAAATGAGGTGTGCATGTGTTTTTATGATGCCCAGGACCACTGCAGTGAAGAGGAAAAAGAGCTCTGCTGGAGAGACATTTATTTCTATCCTGCCTTAGTTATCTTCTGAGGCTGCAGACAGGCATGTATTGATTAGATAGATCAATAGGAAGTGTTTCAGACATGTTCGAGGTTCAAGTGCATAATGGAGTATATACAAGAGTTGACTCACATGAGACAATTGACAGTACACAATAATGTTTCCTGGATGTCTAAAGTGTGCAGTGAAGTGCTCAAGAGATATATTTTTGTAGCAGAATAGTGTATAGTATAACATTATGAATTACAAAAAAAAGAAAAAAATTTATCAGAAATATTTGAATGATAAATGGACACTAGTAGATTACCGTATTTTCCGGACTATAAGTCGATCCGGAGTGTAAGTCGCACTAGCCAAAATATGCGTAAAGAAGAAAAAAAAGCATATATAAGTCGCACTTTTTGGGGAAATGTATTTTATAAAATCAGAGACCAGGAACTGACATTTCAACTTGAAAGGCAAGTATAGTAATAACAACAGAATATTAATGTACCATATTCAGATAATTATAGCGTAAACAACACATGTGTTGTTTACCAAACTCACGATCTCACTCCAAATCACTAAATCCATTGAATTCTCCATCCTTGGTGTCACTTTTGTCCGACCTCCGGAGATAAACCATGAATCCATGATGTAAATCGTCGCTTCCTCTTCTGCGTCGCTGTCGTCAGACTCAGCATCAGTTCCAGTTAGAATTATTCCGGCCTTTCTGAATCCTGACAGGATGGTTTCGGTTGTCACTGAAGTTCAGGCTTTGTTGATTCATCCAGTGACTTCCAGGAAAGTTACACGGTGTACTCGCCCGGTTGCCGTGAAGCTGTGTTCTCCATCCCAGCTTTTCGCCAGTCCCTCACAAGTTTCTCACTCACTCCATACTTTCTTTCTGCTGCTCAATTACCGTTTTCGGCTGAATATTTCACTATTTGCAGCAAGACAGCGACTTTTTCTACAGTAGGCATGCGCAGTTGAGTGCAAAGTGACAGTGGTACAGGAGTAATAGTAGTACTAGATACTGACACACAGCTTAGAGCACCCTCTTGCGGCTGTCAGTCTGAAAATTTTAATATATAAGTAGCACCAAAGTATAAGTCACAGGACCACCCAAACCATGAAAAAAAAGCATGACTTATAGTCTGAAAAATATGGTATTGAGCAATGTTAAAACAAGGGATGTACCAATATATCTTTTTCAGGAAAGAAACCAATTGTCTGAATTCCCCTCACAAAAACTACTTGCTTTAATTGGTCCGTAATGATTCTTTTAAACCTTTTGAAATGGCAATATTTGATGCTAGATGTTGCTATTTAAAATCATTTTAAGTCATATTTCAAGTCTAATTTTAATTGGTTTTTTGGAAGCTGTTAATTATTGCACATGATGGTCTTATAGCTGCAGACTTTCTTTGGGCTTTGTTGATGTGATGAGAACTTGGGTTGAGCCTGTCCCAGAGGCTCAGTGTGCTCAGAGCAGTGCACTGGTTAACAGATCCCACAGCTGGTCCGGGACACCACATCTGTCCCTGTGTCCCACTGCCTCTCCTCCTCCCCTCCTCCCCTCCTCCCCTCCTCCCTACAGTCTTTTCTCCTGCCAGTTCTGCCACAGGAGAGGAGCTCTGGCTGCATACAGACATGGCTACAAGGCAAAGACAATATTGGGGAATAACAGATGTAAGCAGGTCACTGCAGGGTCACATTAAAATTAAATACATGTGTTCTGAATTTGTGAATTATTTGAAAAATAATTAGTAATAATGATATTTACTGTATTAATTGTATTGTATCTGCTCTATGGATGGATTAGCCTATAGCCTTTGATGTAATCCAGAATAGTTGTACAATATACTGGATGTTCTGTAATTTGTTTAATTATTCATCCATTTTGCTATTGCCTGTGGTCTCACAACAGGATATGTTATCTGTAATCTGCTCGACAGTGGTGAAGATTCATACAAATCATTTCTCTCTTGACCCAATTAAGAAATCTAAATTCTCTCCCAACCACTGACAGCTGACTTTTAGAACACTTCTTAGATGCCAAAACATAGTTAAATATAATCTGTAAGACTTTCTAGACCATGAAAAATATTATAATGATCAAATTCAGCTCTTACCACATGTCGGGGGAAAAAATTTTGAGGTCTTGTCAATGTAATGCCTCATTTTACCAGGAGTGAAACATTTTCTACTATATTGAGGAATGTTTTAAAATATAAATGTTGTACCAAATTGTCATAAGAAATCAAGAAATCATTGTCATTTCAAGTTAAACAAAAACAGTGTGAATTCAGATACAAGAAAAGAATAAACAGATTTGTTTATGAGCTGAGATACCAATCTATAGGTAACAGTAGTGATTATGTCATACCCACATTAAAACTAGTACAGCAGAAAATTAAACAAGATGGTTTTGGCTGGTCGATCTTACACTCTATAAATGCAGATGAGCTACTCTTAAAACACCTTCATCACACTACTATAGGAGTAAACTGTATATTGGCCTCAGTATAGCAGAACACCAGCTTGGATAACTCGCGGGTCAATGGCTGCTCTAATTAGAAAGATACACAGCAGATGCCACTTGCACTATACAGGCCACTACTCATAGAAAAATATGACAGAAAATACTGTGCCAAGGGACATGAAAGGGATATAAATTTGAGTTTGTGTTGTCCATTTTGCAGTATATAGCACAGTAGCAAAATAGTATGTATAGTTTAAAAACAAGATTGCACCACAGTAAACAAAAAATGTAAGATTGAACTCATTGAATCCCATTGTTTGTAGTCAGCTTTCAGTTATATGCAACATTTGGAGGTCTTTTCGCATTCAAAATATATACTATTTAGTTTTAAATTGATAATCACTGTGTCAATGGTCCTGATTTTTGAAACCCAAGTATATCAGCATACCTTTGGGAAATGCTATAATTATCTGAAGACTATGTAAGAATATCCGCTACTGAAGCCTGTGTGCTACTCTGCAACTATAGCCCCTCAAATTACATGTTATACAAGCAGGTTGATACACAGGAAAGGTGTGTGCGTGTCTTACCAAGAGCACAACAACAATAAGCACTGATCGTAGCATGGATAGTGTCAAAATATGATTGCACTCTCTTTTCCTTATTGCAGCTGTACATCCAGACGACCACGCTGACCATCTCGGTGAGCCTGAGTGCCTCTGTGTCCCTGGGGCTGCTCTACATGCCTAAGGTGTATGTGGTGCTCTTCCACCCGGAGCAGAATGTGCTCAAGCGGACCCGCAGTCTGAAGGCCGTGGTCACCGCCGCCACCATGTCCAACAAGTTCAACCCCAAGGCCGGACTCAGACCCAACGGGGAGGCCAAGACTGAGCTGTGCGAGAGCCTCGAAACACAATGTAAGAACACAGCAGTCATGGCTAGAAACCTTATTCAAATCAGAGTTTGCTTATTTAGTAGTGCATAATGCAGAGGTGGAAAAGTAAGAATTTACAGCTAAAGAATTTATTTTCAGGGTTTATTTTTTGCAGTATCTTTTTCTAATAAATATTATTGTATTTATTTGTTTATTGAGTGAACAGCTTGACAAATGAATGCATAAAAACGTAACAGAGTAAAATATCCTAACTATTAACCGATGTACCATCTTATTTAACACATCGTTGATTTTAGCAAATTTCTGGCAGCTGTTCATTTACAACGTGACTGTAGCTTCCAGGCATGTAAGATATATTAAAGTGTTTACAATTGAGAAGAGACAGAGGTGGGGTTATAATCAGGAAAGAATGAATTACTGTTGTCTCAAAACTGGTAGGTGCTGATTCCACCACTCAGTTTTTCTCGAGGAAGAGAAGAGAAAAACACTTGTTCTGTTATTGTAAAGCTTAAAGGAAAAAGTGGGAAGTAAACACATTTGTTTAGCGCTCATGATTGTGTCGTCATACCACACAAAAATCCCAGTTAGCCTAAGGGTAAACTAATGGAGATTTTAATGTTAAATATTAAACTTACAAGTATTTTGACACTATACACTGATTGAAATTGAAATTACTAGCAGTGACCCAACAGCTTATCAGCTCCTTTGGTTACTTTTCAGTATTGTTTTAGCTAGTGCATGTCTACGGACATTGTAAATGTTTGTGTATAATCCAAGCTCCAGTATAAACATTTTTTTCCAAACGTCAAAGAATTTTAATGTATTGTTTGGTTCTCTCACAGTAGAAAGAAAATGAAGCAGTCACCATGAGCTTGCATGAAACTCTGGCTGATATGCAGGCCATTATACTAATTATAATGTGTATTGTATCAAAGGATTTTCTCCCTCTTATAGTCTACAAATAAGACATAGTTAGGGTTAAAATGTTATGTAAACTACTGATGTGAAATTTGTATTAGAAACAGACCATTTTGATATAGTAGTCCATTTAGGAATCCAAAAACCCACAAAGAACATGCCTGCATTTTAGGAGTACCCCCTACTGCAGTATCTCTCCATTGTTGTATTTGGAGTCTGAAACCTCTGAGAATGGCCGCCCTTGGCAACCACAGTTTGTTCCTCTGTCCACTCAGACTTTCTCAGATTTATCGTGAATGAAACGGACTACTTTTTGAATGAGGCACTTTTTGAACCTAGAATCCAGATAATGATCTTCTATTGATCCGATTGGCAGGAACTTTTACAGTTCTATTTATGTTTTGATTACAAAGAGACATCTTGATTTATTATATTAAAGCTATTAAAAACAATGCATAACTTTTTAATCATATTTTTCCCTCAAATTGATCAATTCAATTTTCATTTTATTTTTTCCTATAAAGCAGTCACAAATAGCTTTCAGCATTAATGAATTAATAAAAACAATACAGTCTTTTAATCAGTGTAATTTAATACAAAGCAAAACCAAAAAATTGTTCCTCTGATATCTCCAAACCACATGCTACTGACCGACAATTGGCTGTAAATCTCTTGATTGAAAAGACCAGAGTTGATCATAACAATTAGAAATGACCAAAACATTCTCTTAATTATAATGTTCATAGTCTCTCCTCCCACAGAGCAGTTCCGCTATCAATAACTCAAATACGATGCTCTAGTACAGGATCGTCATCACACATATGAGTCACTCGGATGATTCAGGTATTTTTTTCAGATTCCTCTTCCTTTTTAGCTGAAAGGTCTGGATTTTTCACATACTTTAAAACCATGTGGATTTCTTATTTCTTATTATTGATGAGTAATGCTGTCACGAGAAATTACACTTCAATGCTCTTATTGTTTAAACTGAAAACCAAATCATTAAAGCTCGTATGACAAAACTGCTGTGACAATGCGCTGAGACTAGGGATGGGCATGATTAGTCGATTAATCAATAATTGATCATTAAGAATTTCATAGATTACGTACATTTTAATCGACAAACCGAATGTAGGTTGCTGTGTGTAGCGTGACTGAACAGGGGTCCGTACATGTGTCTCTCTGCATCAGAAGGAGCGAGACACAAACAGTCGGTCAGTCTGCGACGTGCCGAAGCGCAAATGTGTATTTAACGATGACTTGTACAAGAAATTCCACGCTTTCCGTTCTGGTCGGGACAAATGTGAGGTCCATGTGCACAGTGTATAAAGCAGCACATATGTTTCGGTGTCCAGTGGGAAAAAGCTTTACCAGGTGAGAGTCGCGCAATGTCGATGACGAGGCCCCGCCCCCCTCCCCCCGTACGGTGTCCTGGTTTTGACCAACGCAAATCTGGTCACACTAACCTGTATTCCACTGAGTCATGTCTTTTAATCCGACAGAAATTGACGGCATCAGCTACACAAAAGCTGTAGTTTTATCTTCGCTGAGTTTATGCAAATTAGCGATGCGGTTTTAAGTTTCGTTTCTGTGAGAGTTGCGCAAAACTGAATTAAACACATTATAATGTCAAACGGGCCTGAAGTGGCTTTAGAGTGGTTACGGTTTATATGTCGTGAAGTTGAATTTATTTATGCAGATTATTAGTGCAGATAGTAATAATAATGATGATCATTTTAATATAAAAACATTAACGATTAATCGATAATCGATTGTTAATTCTTCCGACGATTGATTAAGAAAATTTCATCAAATGCCCATCCCTAGCTGAGACAACATAGAAATATAGTCTATACATCCAGCATGTTTTTGCAATGGTCTAATGGTGTCTTTTGTTACGGCAAGAGATAGTCAGGGAATTGATTGGCAACAGCAATCTGTCCTGATAGGGTTAGCATTTACTGGGTCACTATAGTGCACGGAGATTTGAATAAGCATCATTTGTCATTGTCATGGGCAATGTGGATATAAGGTTTGATGAAATTGAAAAAAATCGTGTCTGGGTAAGCTCCGCCACCAACAGTCGAGATGTGGTGGAGATATGTAGGGTTTATCTGCTCCACCTCTGCGAATCACTTCACACACACACACACACTGTCCGCGGAGACAGAGGGAAAGCTACGGTCTGATGGTTGAGGCAGGCCAGTGTGGGCGAAGTCCCTGGTTTCTCCATATAAGCAATAAAAGGCACTGAATGAAGGGGGAGGGGGCAATGGTGATACAGCAGAGTGGTTGGTGCACAATCGGATAGGTTTGTTATTGTAGAAGACTGATTCTACAATGTGCTAAATGGAACACTAAACCATGATGAAAGTATGTCTAAACCAAAACAGAAACAGCACTAAAACAGGACTAATCTTGGAAAAAGCACTGTTTTGTTAAAGGGGATTTAGTTATGTGCCAAGAAAGATTATGAAAAAATAGTTAGAATTGTCTTTATAACATCTTTATTAAAAAAGTCAGTCTATTGTCTAAACAAATGAGCATTTTGTATTAGAATTTCTGTATTGAAATTGGTATTGAGTAACAAACCTATTCCTTTGTACCAAAATATAACGAAGTTTGAAATGTTTGTATCCTGACACTAGTATCAAATAGAAACTGACTGACAGTCGGTGATGGGAAGAACAGTTTGAACATTTAGTTACAGTATACTGAGTACCTGCATTAAAATGTATTCAGTAGCTTATTCCAATGCATGGTCCAATCTGAGCTCTGTATTCTGAATTCTTCGAAAACTTTTAAATCAAGTTGCATTTAAATTATAGTGTAAAAACATTACTTTTTGTTACTTTTGTTGCTATTTTAATCTCTAATATCATGCAGTTTGATGCCTAAATTGTGTGATCAAGTACTGCTATGTATTTCATTGAATTTAGAAAAGTAACTGTATTCTGAACAGCCCCAAATGAAGAGTAACTGTACCAGAATCTAGTTACTCAAAATGTGTATTGTGGCTACGTATTACATAGTACATGTGTTCAGTTATTTCCCAGAACAGTTGACAGTACAATATGCAAGTATGGGACAGGATAAAAGCTTAGACTTATTCAGAATTTTAGAGATTAGTTAATACAAACTCAAATCAAATACATGCATTTTGAACAACAACAACAAAAACACTAAATTTAAGGGCTACTCCTTTAATCTAGTTTATTTTACTAGTAAACATCACATAAATGAAATAATGATTTGGACACATGCTTAGGTTCATAGATGTCCCCTAAACATAATTACTCATGGTTATCAGATATTATAAGCGAATCATTCAATACCATCTTTTATTTATCAAAGGTTAAAGGTAAAAACAACAGTCTAAAGTCAACCACGGTATAAAACTGAAAACACAACAAATCAGCACATGCCATTTGAAACTTAAGGTTAACATTCTGCACATGTCTGCCTGGAAATAAACAATGCTGTCTCTCACCTTTGAAGGCGTGAATTAAATCTCTGCAGCCCGGGATGTAATAATATTCTTTCTCTCTTTTCCACAGCCACGAAGCAAACCTACATCAGTTACAGTAACCACGCAATCTAAAGGACCGAGCATCCATGTTTGATTTCCACTGGAGGAATGATAAGGTCACAAAATAAGTGGCCACTGCGCATCAGAGAGAAAGGTTGACCGTGCTGCTAATAATTGTAAGGTTTCATCTACTGTCTGCCTCATACATGACAATACTCAAAGAATAAAGAAGAGTTGCATGGCAGAGGCCTATTAAACTATATGGGATTGGATTGTTTACATTGGGCCAGAACATTACTGACCAAACTGAATCTCAATCAAGACATCAGGTGTTCTCAATGTTCCTTCAGGATATCATCAAGGAGATTACGACACCAAAAAAAAAAAGAAATATATCCATGGATTTATAAGAGATTTATGTTTATGTGGCTGGAATCAGTGATCATCGCGATGCAAAAATAGACTGTCCCTCTTTGGGGATTCCTCGGGACTTTGCCTCTTAAAATGGTCTCTGCTGATTTGAGCATGCCAGTTTCAACATCCAGTGTTGTGTTGTTAAAAATAAAACAAAGAGAAATGAAAAAAAAAAAAAAAAAAAAAAGTATATTTGGAATGCGTTTCAAAAATCCGTTGCAGCGTTGTTACTATTGTTTTGGGCCTATTGTTCGTTTACGGTGTTATCAAAATGGTGAAGGCCCAGTAAGTGTTTCTGTGTGCTTAAGTGAGGCCATGATTTGTATTACCAGCTAGCTCAAAGGCTGCCACTGCCCTCTGCAAATCTACTCTGTGCTTTCAAACAGGAGCTAATGGCCAACAGAAGCAGCGGACTGGGTTCATATTGTTGGGTGTTATACTGGGTGACCCTCCCCATCACTGCCACAAGCTTACTCCAGCTAAGGGTGAGGCTGTACAGATCCATTAGGACAGAATTAAGACAAAGTGCACCCTTGGGACCATCGTGCACCCCTCCTTGGAGGTGAGATCTGTAATGTACCAGCGGATGAAACAGAATTCATCACATTCATATCCTCATGAGGCACCCTTCGCACTGAGAAATAGAATGAATAGCAATGATTTCAGGTATGTCTAATTGCTGAAGTACACAATATATTCATCACCCTAACCCTGGCTCTGTATGGTATGAAGGCCCACTCATTCCTTGAAGAAAATAACATAATGGATCATTTGTGTTGTAAATTCAATGCTGCTTCTCATGTCTCTTCTGTATTCTTTTAAACACCCCATTTGTGTTGCAGAATAAAATGTCAGTGCTCACCAAATTAAGTGGCAAGTTAATGTATGTTATTAAATAGCCCGATGATGTCTGCTTTATGTCCTGACCTATCCAAAAACTGGGGGAAAATGAACAAAAAGATCTAGTGCCTGGCTATCTGACGATGTATTTGTAAAAGCTCATAAAAAACTAATGAAGTGTGTGAAGCATGTTATTTTTTTTATACAAAGTTTTATTTGTATTAAAAATGGTCTCAAACTTAATGCTGCTTTTATGTTTTTCTCAGCACAACACGTTTTCATTACAAACATGAATTGCTAACTATCTTGGTCATCTGGCATTTTAAACATATTATTATGCTTGAGTTTGATTATGGGAAGATTCAGCAAACACAAACAAAAATGTGATTAATGAATGGCAAAAACACTAATATTAAAATTAGGAAAGCATTGCCAGTTTCATCAAAAAACTTGTCTTTGATATGAGCTATTCTGCTCTTGTATTTCTCAACAGGGACAGCAGCAATATTGTTGAAAGACAAAAAGGTTGGTTTGTTTGAAAGTTGTTGGTACATTTAATCATTGTATGGCATTGGGATAAAGAATAAACACACAAAAGCAGCAAAGTAGACCTGAGCAACACGACAAGTTTGCTCACTGTTAAATCACAAGATCCTCTATGCTTTGGTATGGTATCACAGTGCTGCTAATTCTTATTATTTACTTTATTATCAGCTGCAGACAGTGTGCAGAGGTCCCATTTTGTCACAAAGTGCTTCTTTTACAACATACACTGTACTGGGGTGAAACTCAAAATTTACTCATGTACAAAAAAAAGTCAGGTACTCCGGTTTTAATTCACATTTCTGTAATCCTTTAAGTTAATCCTTGAACTGATGGTGCAGTCCAATTTTAGACCTGGTTTAGCTGTAGTTTAGACCTGGAAAATAATTCTTTTGAAGAACTTAATTTGACTTAATTTGGTGGGATTGTGACTATTGTAAATATAAATGATAGTATTACATCATTCAAGAAGCAATTTGAGAGGAAAAGTTGAAAAATATGTTGAAAATTACAGGAAGTAGAGAGCTCTAAACACACTGACGACAACACACTAGAAAGAAATCTATCCTAAAATGAAACACATTTTACACATAGGAAAACGTAGGAGATTTTCTGATGCTTGATCAGAAAAAAAGGTTTCTGATAAACATGATTTCAACAAAATAAAAGTGTTTTCTTATATTTATATAGGTCAAATAATATTTTTTGTTAGATAACAGTTATGAAATTCCTGAATGTGGCCAAATGAATTAGCGAAATTGGGGAAACAGAACCTTTTTTTTTTTTTTTTTAGCAACAATCTTATAATATAATGATTGACTTAACTGTGTTTTTTTGTAAAATTAGTTCTTTTAAATCTGATGGTACTTTAAAGGAATCATTAGTGTGAAAAGTTAGAGAACCAGATGATGACAGGAGCAGGTACTTGGCCAGGCTCCTAAACTTGTGTTTTTGTTCTTTACCAACAACACCAACATTAAGGGTATTTGCGTCCACTTATGTCTCTAAAAATAGTTCTGCCATTGATTGGCAGCACAATTGCTTTTGTGTATTTACAGATTAAACAACTTTGTCAGCCTGGAGGACAAGAAGACAAAAGCTGCCTGGGTCAAAATAATATGTTGCCACAAGCGTTGGGATAATAGCAGTGAAAAGAGCGAGGATTGTGGGAGGGAAACATAAAATTATTTCAAATTAATGGTTAGCTGGTGCTTGAGTCCCGGACCTCAGCGTGCAGCAGGCTCTCAGGATCTCATCTTCTCCACGCCTCCACGGTCCTTTACCCACCACAAGTACAAAGGGGCCTGGGAAATTACAGAGCAATGCAAGTGTGGTGAATGCATAGCTGTGCTAGTAGGCTGGTGCATCATCTTCACAGAGAGGAGACAGAATGAGGTGCTGCTGTGTCCCAGGTTTATCTGTACATGACGCACACGGTACAACATCGGAGGACTTTGATAAAAGAGAGAGAGAAAAAACAACTGTGAGGGCTTGTGCATTAATCATAACATATCATATTTATCTTTTGAAATTCTGAAATGAAACCTGCATCATGACACTCCTGGTTCTGGTTCTTATCACTGGTGTTTTGATCAGGGGTGGAAAGTAACAAAGTAAAAGTATTAAAGTATTGTACTTAAGTATACATTTTAGGTATCTGTAGGTAGATCTGTAAGTAGATTTTAAATTGCATACTTTTACTTTTACATTTGAGAGCAGGTGTCTGTACATTCTACTTCACTGCATTTTTTTAAACTAAACTGAAAAGTTGTTTTTTTTTATTTTATTAGACCTGCTGAAAAAGCTAAGGGTTTATTTTTAAACCTATTCATAGTCTGAGCAAACAAAAATATACAGCTGGAAAAAAAATTTATTCTGCACAAATGTTTACCAAAATTACTATAATTGAATCTTTAGTAGATCCCAAAATCTTCTGAATACTTTTACTTTTTATTCTTTAAGTATAATTTTAAAGAGATACTTTAATACTTTTACTTCAGTAGATTTTTTCATGTGATACTTCTGCTTGTAGTTGAGTATTTTTTTACTGAGCACTTCTTGTACCCAGGGGATTAAACAATTAAATCTAATACACAAATATATAGATGCCAGGAGACAAACACACACATTAAACTCATATAATAACATATAATGTGTGTGATGTTTGTTGTAAGCTTGTTTCAGTGTTGGCCTGGGAACTCTGTCTTACGTCTGGTATTTAAGTTGGCCATTTCTCTTAGCCGCAAATGAGACTGATGTTACGAAAATGTCGAAAAAATGAGAGATTCACAATTTGATAGGTGTGATTTCATTAAACTGCCTTCCTCTGTAAATATCAGCTCAGTTCAGATCCAAATTAGCAAACAACAATGAGCCCATTCCCAAAAAGCCTCTTTGGTATTGAGCCATGAGTGCACATATCTGCAGCAGCCAGCGCGGACCTCACTGAAGCTAACTAAGCCTGTGCCTCCAAACTGAGCCAGAGACGGGAGAATGTTCCTCCAACAGCTGGCTTCTTCTTACTCCACTGAGCGCGAGTGTGAAAGCCAGCAATTTACCTCAAACTTTAGGAAGATTTTGGACAAGTGGTGGAAAGGTTTTCAGGCAGTGTAATGACAGACAATGCATGAAGAAACACTTACTGTGAGAGCAATAATGACACGTGGGAGAGGGCCAGTTTTCCCAAGTGGGCTATGAATAATTAGGAGTACAATTATTGAATAGCCAATTTATTATCAGGCCATTCCATAAAAGAACCACAATATAACACAAGTGCACATTTTGATTTGGGTTACAGTAACTAGGACTATGCCATAATTAGCCTTAATAAATCTTAAAGAATGACTTAATACATTATGAACAAATAGTTTATTAATAGGTTGATAAGAATGATTTTTGGTTTTGCACTACATTTTTTCTGGTACACCAATCAGTTTTGTTTTTTGGTTTTTTTTTTTATGTGTGCATATTCAGTGTCAGATATGGCAGTGTTTCCCAAACTTTTTTCTGGGGACCTATATTTTAAAAGTCACAAATCTTCGTGACCCAAATCAATAAACATTAGCAGCTTTGTGCACATTTGTTTATGTTTTACAGAAACAAAACTTAAAACCACATGGCTAATTTGCATAAATTATAAGCGGTTAAAAAACAAACAGTTTGCTCCTTGTGCACCGATGCTGTCAGCTTCTGTCGGACTAAAGAACACAACTCAGTGGAATAAATGTGAAAACCAGTTCAAGGTCAGAAGGCACAACCAGAATTAATACACAAGG